TCAGAAGAAAAGCCACTCCCTGTTGTTTGGCAGTCTCCTGCCCCGAGTAGAGGACTGTCTACCCCTCATGGTGGCAGGAGCCAGAACCGGTCCACCGGACCTCCTGAATACCACAGAGATCCAGGCGGTACCGGTCCAGTTCCCGACAGAGGAGTGGCAGCCTCTTCTCCACAGTGAGCATTCGAACATTCCACGTGGCCATCTGCAGTGGTTTTTTGTTGTTTCTGGAGGAGCCCCGAGGGTAAGGATTCAGTCTCCTGGCTCCGCCAAATGGGGTTTGGCCAGGAGACGTCATAAACGCCTGTCCCCCCGGAGCCTCTAGCACAAGCTTAATAAAAAAATTAAAACGTGGTTTGGTGGTAATTAATTGAAGGTTCACAAGTCGATGGTCAGTGGGCAGATCAGCTCCACGGTAGGTCCTGGGTTACCAGCCGCTCGCACCCATGCAGAGTCCCCATTTGGTTGCTGTGGTGGTTACAAACGCCATTAGGGGAAAGGCTAATCTAAATTGGTCCTCCCCCCCATGGCACTGCCCACCACAGCGTTGCTGCCCGGCACCAATGAGGAGGTAGGGGGTTGTTTTTGCCGGAGAGCGCCCACACACACACACGCGCATATTTTAAGTGCTCCACGTAATTTTCTCAATTTAACTGTTAACATTTCATCCCTCAGCTACACGGTGCTGGTAATAATTAGATAATGTTGAGTGTTGTTGTACAATTAGCTGTTCCTGCGGGTACATAAACATAATTAAAACCAAGCAGGATTCTCTTTGCATTCATATTTCACGTTAGCACAACACACCATACCCATAATTGCTGTCTGCAGACTGGATGCATGTCACAATTTTTTTTTTACTTTTATGCCGTAAAGCATTGAATCTATTTGCCTGACAGTTAAAGAGAGTATGGTTAGTGTTTGATTTGAAAAATAATTGGGCATGAGTTTCGAGGCCACTCTGCCAGAAGTACAGAGGCTCATTCTCGCAGCGCGTTGGCAACCCGGTGCGATTTGAGAGGAGCGACTGGGCTTTCTTCACAGGGGATTTGATGCTCATCATTTGCCAACAGGTAAGTCAAAGAAGTTCACCTTGATGTGATTTTCCAAGTGGAACGTTTCAACCCGCTGCACAGTATTACACTGCTTGGAAAAGTTCCTTCCTTGCTATTTAAGAAAAAAGCCATGACAATCACCCCCCCCCCCCGCCCACTTTTCTGGTAACGTGCAGACTCGCACATTGATAGGGCTACTTTAAGACAAAACCACCCATTGCTTTCAACGTCATAAACAACCTGTACATCAACTGTGGGATGGACAGCAATGATGAGTTAACTAGAGTAAAATATTACAGTATTTCAGCGAGCGTGTAGATCAAGGACTGACACATTAAATAAACATGAATTTAAACTCTTACAGATATAATAAATGTAACATGATCTTGATATGAAGCTTTCATGACTGCAGGAATCCATACTCTTTGGTTCTTTTGGTAAACTCATGTAGGTAGAAAAATTAATAATAAATCACGACGTTTCGATCGCAACACAAGCAACGTTTTAACGCGGTGGATTCACACGATATTGTTTTTCCGAGACCAAGGTACTCCGCAAACCTTCGGGCAACCATCAAAGATGTGTCCATGAAGCCATCCAGATATATAAACACAGACACAATTTCAACCGAGAAGATGGGTACAAACTGAGCAATCATTGGAAGGATGTTATTAACCAGGTAAAGTCATAACTTGCTGTGATGTTTCCATCCTTCCTGCAATTGTTTAGCAGTTATTTCCTACTCTCTGAATTACATCACCTTGTTAAATGTCTTTACATTAACAGACTAAGGTCTCACTAACATAGCCACCGCTGCTCCCTTTTGCCTCGATGTAGCGGTAGCTCTCGCTGTTCAATAGACTGTATGTCTCACTGGCACGGTCATCGTTACGGTGGTTCTCTTGCGTTGATACGCTGGCCTCTCAATGTGCAGCAGCCAACGCCGCAGCTTATGTTGCCCACGAGGTGGCGATATGCTCGGTCCTCTGACACAGACACGCTATCTTCCCATTAAACTCGTTTACATTGACATGCCAATCTCTCCCTTGAACGCAGCTGTTGTGCATGCGTGCGGCGACGGGACTCCATTCCATCTCTAACCCCGCCTACTTACCCTTGGGTGACACCCACCTCAAACCTAAATATGATCTCTTGTTGCAGCAGCCTTGTCTTGTTCAGCAGTTCTACTGCTGTATCTTTCCACCTGATGACGATTGCTTGTGTTGCGATCGAAACGTCGTGATTTATTATTTATTTTCTGCCAACGTGACTTTACCGAAAGAACCAAAGAGTATAAATGTTACATGGTGAGCAAAATTTAAAGTGAACAAAATATTGCAAGCACTGTTCTTTTTCAGTGGTTCAGCTCTTTTTAGAAAATGCCACCCGAAATGTTCAGGAAATTGACCTGGCATGCTGTCAGAGAGCATCTCATTCTTGTTTAATGAAAGCTCGTGTGTACAGTTTATCTGTATGGTTTATCTGTAGCTTCAGGCATGAACAAAAAAAGAAACAGGATTAAAAAAAAACAATTGTCAACATTTTATTCTGTCTCAAAAACAAGCTTGCTTCTTTAACAGATAGCAAACACAAAGGGTAACATGACATCGTACTGTATAAACAAATATTCAATACACTCAGTAATATTTTCCGAAGGGTTTTAGGAATTGCGTGGGTAAGACAAGATGAGCAATGCAGAAGAGAACATCGCAAGGTGAATGTTTCAGATATGTTGAGCTGGGCCAGCTGCAAACGTAGGCATTGGAATAGTTTCCATGAGTGACAACCAAGGGACAAGACCTTAAGACCAGATGGTGGGATACTGTTAGGGCAGATCTTGGAGGCTCTGTGACCACTGCGTAGCAGCTGTGGGAGCTGGAGGAGGGTAGTGAGAGCGTTGGCGAGGCACGGTGACACGAACAGCTTTGGCCATGCACTGTGTTATCCTTGTGCATCGCACCTCCGATTAGCACGGTTGGCTACGTACGGTGCGAAAGAGGTTCGACATACATACAACAGGCAATTGCTCTCACTGTTATCGTCCGGTGGTAGATATGAAGTTGTACACTCGTAATGACCATCGATCTCTCTTAACAGGTCGGCAGTGTGGTGATTAGTGAATAAATAGCCAATATGCTTTGAGTTAGTTCATAATTACATCACCAAGAATGCAAATGAATAACTTCGTTATCGAATATCTGCAGTACTGCAATTACATCACTGTAAATGCTGTTTCCAAATGCGTCTGGTTGCGTTCCAAACATTGTAAAGGGGTTTATGCAACATTGATTTCAGCTATTACAAGCATGCGTCGAGTTTTGCTATCGAGTTGTAATAATGTTAAATCAATTTGGCTATCTGTTAAGTCCTACATTGCCAATGCTATCCGTCACACAAATGTCTTTACTGGCGATGAGATCTAAAATATTTTCCTCAATATATTGCGACAGTTCATGATGGCATTTGATCAATAGCAATTTTAAAATAACGCTATTCAGAATCACATTAACTTTTCAAATCCTGTCGAAACTTCTCCTTAAAAAAATGAAATGAAAGTCACTGGCAATAAATGTAGTAAATCCACTTTCCATGATAATGTATACATCTTCAGCGAGGCTACTGACAGTTCATTCAACAAATGTGTGTCGCAGATTGAACCCTAAAGAGCCTCGCTGAGTCTCAAAACCTGTTCATGAGCATTTCACTTGGGATATTTGGCCAATTGATCCTTATGGCGGTACCCCGGGTTACCAAATAATAAAAAATGGGCCGAGGCAATTAAATATTTAATTTCTGGGACACTATTTTTTCCAGGGGTGTACTTCAACTCCGCGACTGGGGTACCAATCAATCCGAAATCGGTGCCACACTCCGCGATGTCGAAACGCAGCGAGGACGATTGCGCTGAAACCCTGAACGCTCGCGGTACGCGCCGTAGTGGTGGTGCATCGTGTACAGCTCGTCGAGATGAGTCGATTGCCGCATCGCCGACCATCAACAGACTAAAAATGACTGCATCACGGACATTGTGCGAGAGCCGGGGTGCTGTGGTACCCTGGGATACCACCATGAGGTTAAATTCCCGATTAAGTCTTTTTTTGTGTGTCAGGGGAAACCTAATCATCCAGGGAGGAAAAAAATATGCATATGAGAGGATACAATTTAAAAACCATTTGCATAGGTCAGAAAGCTATCTCAACTAGAATCATTCTCCAGTACTCATGCGGGTCAGCAGTGTCACTCACATGACATCTGTGTGAACCATCATCCCTGCCTACAAAGTTCCGGGTGACAGGCATGCGCTACTTTATATCCACACGCGCTGTTAAAAAACATGTACTTCATTAGTTGCCAGTGCTGCACATTTATTAATTTGCCTACCCATTCCCTCAGTTATCTTTAATGAGAAAACCAGCCCCTAATTATACACCTTGCGATAATGTGCAATATTTAGCCTCGAGCTGCGAAAGACTGGAATCAAACAGCACAAACGTAATGGCACAAACTCATAATGAAATGGAGGCAGCGGTAATGGCTGTGTAACACCCTCGGAAGGGGGCACGTGGGAAAATAATTGTGCCAGATATGAACAATTGCTATTACTGTGCTTGCATTTGACACAATAAGTTATTGCCTGGATGTTTAAATTGTTAATGCACCAAGGACATGCGGGTTGTGGGCACACCACTGCCTTTTCAATTCACTTGCAGCTTCAACTGGGTATCTTTACTATATATATAATACAGCACCGGATATACATTTTTCCATTTGAACTTCGCATTGCACAGTATATTCTAAAAACAATAAATATTACATTGGCACGTTAAAATAAAAACAAACACATAAAACATACATTATTATTACTACGACCATGATATTCTTGTTCTTTTCGCTTATTTTTTTTTAAAATACACTTTGAAATTGTACTGGATATTATATTTACGTAGCTACCTCTTGCAGAAGAGTCAATGGCCAATAACTTATTAATTTCTGCACACGGTGTTTTCCCTTCTCCATGGGATGAAGTTTATTTTGTTCTTTTTTTTTTGGTGTGAGTGTGGAAATGTTTGAGCATTCTGTTACCACCGTTTTTTGTCCTGTCTTGTGAGTGATAGACTGCAGTCTTGCCAATGTGCTAGTGTCTTGTCAGTTTGTCTTGTCAGAGTGCCTGTATTTGGCTCCCGGACCTTCAGGGTGTCCTAAGAATCCTGACTGTGGGTAAGCACACAAAGAAGCCTGTTAATCTTACCTCGAAAAGGGACGCAGCTAATCACTCACCCAGCAATAAATGTATGGACCACACCATTGTATTATTTACAAAGTCAGGCGGACAGTATTGATAATGCCCAAGTTGAGATCTCTGTACCCTGCAGTATTGCAGAAAGTTGTAAACTTGGCGCTTTTCAAATTATATTAACTGCACTGTAATAAAGATTGTGTTTCGAGTAGGCTTATGGTGATACACGCAAATGTATTTTAAAAATGCATTTAGATACAAATGTGACTCATAAAGTTGTATACAGGATTCACATATTGTACATAGAGTATAGAGTGGTGAGTACAAGTATATATCGACGTGCAGATCGTAGATTGAAACCCACAGAATATTCACATGCAATATATCTGGTATACTGTGGTACCATTTTTTCTTATCCCCTATTCAAAATATTGTATACCAGGATAGCACCGATGCAAAAAAAGACATTCAATCAAAAATATAAGCAACAACAAGATAAGATGGAGTTGCAGTTGGTGGAAGAAGAAAAACTTTTTTTTTTTGCCACACTGGCAAAAAAAAGATGTAACTCAAATTCAAGGCACTTTCTTGCATCTGAGTGCATTTATGCATGTGCGCTCATGCATGACCTCCGAGCCTGCACATTACCTTGTGCCCTTGCATGCATTGGTGCGTGCGTGTGCCTGTTTTCCCAAGGGGGGGGTGTGGTTCACACACACACAGGTCGACTCAGCCTCAAATGTCTACCTGGTGCGGTGTGTAAACATCGCCACTCGGGAGACAAAGGCGGCCGAGCGTGGTGATGGCCACCCACCCCCTCGTGTGCCGTGATGGCCTTCATAGGTGCTCGCTAAGAGCACTTGCCCCAACAGTCTGTGACGGCTATACGGGGGATCTGTATCTTTGTGGTTCAGTGTGGTGTGGTGGATCATGCACGGACTCGCCCCAAAACAGTACTCAAGTGTACGCGTTTGGGTAGAGTTACTTGGAGCCTATTTTGTCTTTCGAGTCCACGGATGTGCATTTACATGTCATCAATTCAAATTTCAGCACTTTGAGTCAACACGGTCGATGCAATGCTGCTGCCTACATTTCTATCTATAACCACCACAGAATATCTTCTTGGTTCTTTCGGTAAAGTCACGTAGAAGGAAAATAATAAAAATAAAACATTATAAAATACAATTCTCACGACGTTTCGGCCACAACGCAAGCAGCCGGCCGAAACGACGTGAGAATTGTATTTTATTATGTTTCATTTTTATTATTTTATTGTTTCCCTTCTACGTGACTTTACCGAAAGAACCAAGAAGATGAATCCCTGCAGTCACGAAAGCTTTAAATCGAAACACCACAGAATAGGTCCAAATATTAGTTGGACAAACAGTCTGTGATGCTTCCTGCCAACTTACCCACCCCATCCCAAGGCCCCACATTTGCGCGTTAACGAGACTAGCAAGGCGCGAGGTCTTTAAAACAATTAATTGGTAAATCATTAATGCACATCTGTTTTAATCGTGGTGTTTTGTGCATGTTTTTTTTTAGAGGAGGAAATTAGCATGTTTCAAAGTTAATGACTTTACAGCAAGTTTATCTGCACAAGAGGGTTGAAACTAATGGGAAAAGCAATGGTTGAAGTGAACGCCCTGTGGTATCGATTTGTCCAGCGGTGTCGACATCTCGAAGTCCCGCATGCCCATGCCGTCGTATCAATTATCGCGTGATATTCTCGTTCAAATAATCGCGACGATACAAAATGTGGCGGCCAATGACAGTGAGAAATTTAAATTATTCAATAATGAGCACAGGTTAGAACCCGGTCCATAAATGACGTCACGCGATTTTGGACGATTTTTGACCCCCCTCCCGCCCCATCGTCACGTGGCGTCACAAAAAGTCAGACCCTCCCCCCCCTCAAATATGACGTCACAAAGCTCTGCCCCCCCCCCCCCAAAAAATAAACATGCTTCAAATCGCTTTAAACTATTGTCATTGTAGTGCGTATTTAATGTGGCGCTGCACTCTGATGTTGTAGGAGAAAACATTAATTAAAAGTCTATTTAATTAAGTAGAACGTGTCGTTTATACTTATTTAAAGTTGCGCATTTTTATGTGACGTCTCAAACCCCTCCCCCCCCTTCGTCACACATCGTCACAAATGTCTGACCCCCCCCCCCTCCTAGGTGCGTGACGTCATTTATGGACGGCCGCTTATATGTTCTGCTGTATCTTTGTGTACATGTGAGAGCCGAACTTTTTTTGAGAATTGGTTATGTATAAGTGTTCATACCGCCATATTCATTTTTACTTTTTATTTTTCATTAAACTACCCTCAACACAAACACCTGTCAGCTGTTTTTTATTTGTCGTCTAAGCGAGCCGCAAAATAGCGGGATGTGTGTGACATCATTGTCTTTTTCTCAAAACATTTTTACCCAACGCTCATGCTTACGTGCACAATATACTCGGTACACAGGATGGTTTTTTCAACACGCACAAGCTTTCGGAGTTTCGCCTATTCATAACTAATGTTGAACTTAGAAGCTCCAATCTGCTCAGATTGGGTCTTGAATTTGTTTGCCACAAATCTCACTGAACGAGCGGGACAAAAATGGGTATATTTTTAGACACGGCAACAGCAAAAGTGTTTCTGTATGCAAATTAGTGAAAAGCATTACAATGTATTGTTATATATCTTTCGTATCTGAGTATATTGTATCCATAGTCTTGCAACATGCCAGTCTTCTTGGAATTGTGCACATTTTTTGCATTGCTAACCTTGGATTAGATATTTTATCTCGTGATGTAGAATCTGTAATAGCAGCACGATATGTAATAAATGTATTTTTACCGCCACAATTGCACTGCCTAAATATCTCCTTATCTAACCAATGCAGACGCGAATTTGTACGACTTATCTTTGGCATACACATGCTGCATAGATATTCGTATTCATGAGTGTTATTTTAGACGTACACTGTAAGCGCAACATTTTCAAAAATTTACTAGTTTATATACTTATCAGAAATGTTTCTTGTGCTATATGTCAACATTTCCAAATATACTCATTATATCTATTGCTGAAACATGTACCAACCTCAACAATTGTGTAAATAGATAACTCAGACATTCAGTGTCCCATACATTCTGTCTCAAAAGTAGGGCACGTTCACATTTGAGGCATCTGGCAGAGCAAAGCAATTAATTACAAGTTGTCATAATCGCAAGTGGAGGTAGAAAAAAAAAGTTGCTTATCATCTTACCTTCTCAGCGGTGATCTGGCCACCGCTTGGCATCCTGTGGGGTCCCCTGTAATCTTGCGTCAGGGTGTGGACAGCGGAGCACTGGAGTGCTGGCTCCAGTTCCGTCTGCGGCATCTCGTCGGAATGGACCGCAACATCTGTCGATGCGATCGGGTGGCTCCCTCGAGCGCACGCTCCAGATGCGGTGGCGCCGGCCGCCTCCTGCGCTGCAGAGGACACTGAAGGTTGCGGTTGCACCAGGGAGCACCTCATGAGCCTCTGCAAAGCTGCCTCGGCCAAATCCCCCTGAAAGGTCTCCTTCGAAGAGCCGGCACGGTGTCCACTTTGACAATCTCCGGGCTCAGTCACATTTCCAACGTGCGCTCTGGCGGCTTGTACGTAGCTGGTACAAGCCTCCGTCTCGACGGGAACGTCGCCTGCTCTGATTGACGCGTGCTTTTCTAATGACACCGGCTCTGCTGCCGTGGCAGCATCCATCCTCTGCGCCGTGTCTGAAGTTCTCAAAGGGGCCGACTTCCCCGCCTCCTGCTGCGAATGCCTCTCCTTGTACAGGCAGGTGCTGGGGCAATTCGAGTGGAGTTCCCTGCGCGGCACGGCATACCACCAGTTGGTGACGTACGGAAAGCGGCACTCGGACTTTTCTGCCCCTTGGTGGAAGGCCGGTGGAATCGTTGAGGAGGCCTCTGGCCCTTTGGCTGGGATGGATTCAAACTCGTCACTCGCCGAGCCGCCGGCACTGCCAGAGCAAGAAGAGAAGCTGCCCGAGGCAGACCCCGAGCCCGAGCGGGTGACTGTCGTTATCCCGCTGTCTGATGATATCCTCCGGGATGGTTCTGTCGCCGGCGATGGCAGGTGGGGCTTCGTGGGAAGTCTGGACTTGTCAGTAATCACAGCGGAAGCTCTATGCAGGAGTGGGGACCTGGCTATCTTTGCTTCTGGTGGCATCTGTGCAGCAACATAACAGTACACAGTTATTAGGAAATACTAAGTGTAATATTCACACAACAACCAAATAAAACTTAGACGTATATATTCGTCTTTATCTGTGACAAATTGGTTTCTTTCATATATATATAGCATTTACTTCCTGTTCATAACGTATTGAGGAAAGTTCCAGAGTGAATACCCCACAAATCCTCCTAGATCAGCAGTCGGTAACCTTGCGTCTCGTATTCACGTGCAATGCGATTCTTGAAATACTGAGTATTCTTTTGTGTTTACCAAATTCGCAAAAAAAAACTGCCTCTTCTTGTTATTTTGGTTGCTGAACCCTGGGAGGGTATTGCATTGTAGTCTTGGTTTTGTCATAATTAGATAGAAACGATTTGTTTGCAGATTGTGCTCCATCTTACTGTAAAAGTCTCATTGCACAGTACAAATACTTACACGAGGTTTTTTTCTGCCAATAAAAAAACAGAGGCAATTTAAAACACGTTATGTTCACATTAGCAGTTGCAATCATTTCCATAGATGAATGCTGAGGCAGTGCACGTTGCTGGCTTTGACAATGATCCTAGTTGTAAAATGAGGTAGCTTCATGCAGAATTGCCACAACCAGGGTCTGTGTGTGTATATTTAAATTAAACCAATGTCTTCCATAATCCAGGGTTTTTTTTGGGTTAGATCGCATAAATATAGAAATGTGTAGTTAAAACCCGCCACCACCCGACACAGCCAATTAGTAAGGTTTGTCACGTAAACAGAACGTGGCAATTCGTTACTAGTCCAGCCACACACCGGTTGTGTTGGATAGCAAAGCCACAACATTTACAACACACCGGTGTGCTGTACTAGTAACGAATTGGCATGTTCTGTTTACGTGACAAACCGTACTAATTGGCTGTGTCGGGTGGTGGCGGGTTTAATGACACATTTATATTTACACGATGTAACCCCCAAAAAAAATCTGCATTATGGATGATATTGGTCGCGAAAGCCTAGGTGTGAAACCATTCTTATTTTACCAGGTAAGGCCCACTTAGCTATGAAGCTCTTTTTCAGAAGCAACCTCGCCACAAAAGATAGCTGAAACAAGTGGCCCATCATGTGGAAATGTATCGCAGCCAAATACTGAAAACGCGTGATGTTGATTCTAAATGTGGCGGGAAAAACCGGAGGACCCGGAGAAAGATCCACGCGACCACGGTGCGAACATGCGAACTCCAAATATACAGCAGGCGTCAGGGTCGGTATCGAACCCACGTCCTCCACCGTATAGCAGGCGATGTAATTAACGTATCGCCACAAACACAAGGATGATCCATTCATAGACATCCCACTGATTCATCTTCTTGGTTCTTTCGGTAAAGTCACGTAGAATGGAAATAATAATGAAATAATAAAAATAAAACATAATAAAATAATTCTCACGACGTTTCGGCCACAACGCAAGCAGCCGTCCTCAGGTGGAGAACAGGTCTGTCGAGAAGACAGCGTCTGAATTACACGCCCCAGGCCTGGAGCGACTATTTAGGCTGGGATGGAGGGGGAAGAGCGCCTTGACAAAATAATTTGCATATCAAGAGGAATTTAGCATATTTATGGGAAATGCAGATATGCGATTAGCACTACTTGTGAAATGCGTAGGAGGTTTGTAGTACTAATCGCATATCTGCATTTCCCATAAATATGCAAAATTCCTCTTGATATGCAAATTATTTTGTCAAGACGCTCTTTGCCCCTCCATCCCAGCCTAAATAGTCGCTCCAAGCCTGGGGCGTGTCATTCAGACTCTGTCTTCTCGACAGACCTGTTCTCCACCTGAGGACGGCTGCTTGCGTTGTGGCCGAAACGTCGTGAGAATTATTTTAATTATGTTTATATTTTATTATTTTATTATTTCCATTCTACGCGACCTAACCGAAAGAACCAAGAAGATGAATCCCTGCAGTCACGAAAGCTTTAAATCGAAATCCCACTGATTTCCAATGATCCTCTTCGTGCATTCTCAGCGGGTGAAAGAGTGACTGTGAACGCGACGGCTCCGTCACGTCCAGGGGGACAGAGAAGGACTCCGGTGGTTCGCATTCGCTGATCTGTGGCGGTGCGCGCACGCACGCCTGGAGAGGCGCGCGGGCCATCCATTCCCGGGGAGAAATCCGGTCGTGCGCCACCGCAGAGGAAATCGAATTACAAAATAGTATTTCAAATGCCGTGACAAGGTTCCTATTAAAACGCGCAAAAAGGAAAACTAAGAAACCGGAGGGAATTTGTTGCGTTCACAGGATGTCGTGCTTGGCAGCCCTCAATCACAATCTATCATTGTGTAATTTCTCCCTATTATCTTAGTGGGGTGGGCTATACTGTAAAACGGATCACCCTTGTGGATATGAACAGGGAGAGAGAGATCTACTGCTGCTCGTTTGCTGCTCACAGCCTCTTTGCCTCGAGGCGGCGGGGGTGGGGGCTGGCACGTGCCGTGAGCTGCTGGATGGAGGTGTATATGAGGCTGTCTGACGGGCTGCCATCAGACTGCTCGTCTGCCGATCCGGAGACGCCGGAGCTGTCTGTGAATGCCCGCGCTGCTTTAGCACGAGGGTGAACAGCTGCAACGAGAACAAACAAAAAAAAGACATTCATATTTGCATTTTATACTTTTCCAAAACGTGCTTTTATTGTACAAATGCATGTGCCAGCTATTCACATCGCTTATCGCATTGCTTATTCATGCCCACCGATAAAAATGGCCCCTTAGTCATGATGAGAGTTATGATCAGCGGAAATGAACAACATTTTAATGTCGATTTAAAGCTTTCGTGACTGCAGGGATTCATATTCTTGGTTCTTTCGGTAAAGTGACGTAGAAGAGAAAAAAAATCACATAAAATAAAATTCTCATGACGTTTCGGCCACAACGCAAACGTCGTGAGAATTTTATTTTATTATGTTTTATTTTTATTATTTTACTATTTCCCTTCTACGTGACTTTACCGAAATAACCAAGAATAACATTTGAATGATTTAACACTTGTTTTGTTTTCACGCATAGCGTACGTCTCATTCAAAGAGTTTTGCATTTCAATAATTGTGCATTTGAATGCAGTAAATGAAGTAATTACATTTTGTTTTGAATAAATGTAATACAAACTACTGTGGGTTTATCATTTTTTAAAAGGTTGTGTTCTTCTCAGCCATTTCCAACAACATTTAAACATTTCAGTTTGATCAAATGTGCTATTTGCTGAAACATATAAGGTAACAACGAATCAAACAACCCTAAATGTTTTTCAAGCGATTGAATAGACTGATTTCTTTTTTACCAAAGAACTGACAACTAATTTTACTAAGTTTATGCAAACTTGAATGTAATACTAATATATATAGCAAGTCCATTTTCCACATTTGTATTTACCCATTGCACTTTGTATTTATTCCGTTTTGGAAGCTGTGCTTGTTAATGATGATTTCCAGTCTGCAAAATGTCACCTCTGTGTGTTACGTGTTGACGTCCACTGAAGCCAGCTCAATGTTAAAGAAGCTGGCACGCTCATTGAGTGGAATACAAAATGACTTTAACCATACGTACTACCTGATCCGTTTTTTGTACATGTTTTTAAGCATTAAGTTTAGTAGTCAAAGTTATGAATCAACAACTCAGGTGTCACATGGCACTCTGATGAACGATCTTGGCAAAGCTATGTTAGGCCACTGTAAATTGACCTTCCTGGGACATTGGCTCTAGTTTAGTGGCCTGCATGGTCCCTGAAGCAACAACAATAAACAAAAAGCATCTATAAGATGTGTATATATACATATAACTACTCTCCACTGAAGCCAGCTCAAGTTACACCTGCATGATGTCTGACGTTTTGTACCACATGCTTTAGCTCTCAACACATAGAGCAAAACGTCGGACATCACGCGAAAGAACACGCAGTACAACCTGAAAACAGATCAGAGAGAGAGAGAGCGAGCTACCCGGGACGACCATGAAAAAGCCTAAGCAGTAGCACAAATATAACGAGGACTGGGCGGCCCTGCCCTATGTTTATGCATCACAATACCCAGCGGTGCATATCACGATCGGGTAACCACAGGTGGTAATGTGACAGATTACACTGCTGCTGAGTGAAACGTTTCCCTGCTGGCTGCTGCGTTTTCAGGTAAATTACATCAAAGCTGTCAGTGGCCACGCACTTTTGAATGTCTCTGCTTGTTATGTTCCATGGACGCTCATTGTGCGTGCGACTATGAAATCGTTGGATGGAAATGTCAAACGTCGAAAGTATGATCTCAAAAAGGGCTTCGACGAAATAGAGAAATCTCTTCTAACCAAAAGTTTTGATTCGACTTCAATGGCCATGTTATCTATGCCTTTGTTAAGTCACTATGTGATTATAGTCCCTAGATAGGATTCATATGCACAGACGTACAGTGAGCTCAGAATAAAAAATTATAAGAATGCACGTGTGTGGGTGTCACTGACAGTTGGCAAAATTGCTGTGTAAACCTTGGCAGAATTTTGGATGTGACTTAACTTACAATTATTGGTCAGTATAGATTTCCATTGGATAAACGAGTCCATGCCGATTATTGCAATTTAGCCTTTCCAGACGTTGGCTCAAGACCAACCTTGGTAATGAACACAGCCCGACACGCATTTCAACGAGGACTTTGACTTAACTTTCACTTTACCTATTGTCACGTATTGCATTAAAATGACATCACCAAATCCTTACAATGAAAGTTAATAATGCTTAAAAAAAAATTTCCTTTTCAAAACACAACCTCTATTGCGATGTAAATGTCCGGCCCTCGATAAATCCATTGCTGGATGGGAAGATCCTCCACGCCTTGCCGGCAGCATGGGCTCTTTGACCAAATTCTTAGGTTTTTTTCGGTAAAGTCATGTAGGTAAAAATTTTTAAATTAATAAAAGTAAAATAAAAATAAAATAAAAATAACGACGTTTCGGAGGCAACACAAGCTTCTGTCTTCAGGTGGAACCGTCACAGCACGATAGCTGTATCAAGTGAGAGAAATTCCAAGAAAACAGTCCTTGTATATATACTGGTTGAGGGTGGAAGGAGCCAAGGCAGGCCCTGGATATTATTATTGTGAGGTTCGGTGCGGCTGAAGCACGCTGTTAGGAATGAGCCTTTGTTGTGTAAACTAGGTGCGGATTATGTAAAGGTGCGTGTAAATGGGACTGAGCCTTTTGTTATGTAGAGGTGATGCGGCTGAAATCGATGCCAGGAAATGAGTCTTTGTTGTGTAGAATGGTTGACTGAGCCTATTGTTATGTAGAGGTGGTGCGGCTGAAATCGCTGCCAGGAAATGAGCATACTTCACCAGGCCCCTGAGTTCATAGTGCCATGAGAGCCAGCACCACTGCGCCACTGCTCAACTCTACAACCTTTTGTAGTAAAGCAAAATGTCTAAAAAATTCAAATGTGCACTCATCTAAATTACTGTGATGACCCAATGTGTTTTGCATCTGTGAAAAGTCATTTACTGTGACACATCCATGCGATATATTTTCATTGCTTTGTAACTCTTGCATCCACCCCCATTTATCACCAGGCCCTCTGCTGCTAAAACGACCAATATATAAGCATTAAGATAGAAGTTCACTGCACTGAGGCAAAACCAAGGTTTATACCTAGATGAATGACGTCTGTAAATTGTATAATTTTAAAGGATGCTCCTTGTCTTGTGGTTATTGTTTTTTAGATTAAACTATGTTGCGATTTTCTCTCCCGCTCGATATGCCTTGTGCATACATTTTGCTGAGCCACCTTTGCTACGAAGCGGTCTCAATTGCTGCTTTAATAAGAGCTTTGCCTATGTATGCACGGTACAGATTGTGTATTTTAAAAGCTTTTCCCTTAATACTGAGCCTTGCTTTCTGAAAAAGGTGAACACCCTCCACTGGGCTGACAAATTAATTAAAATTTCTGTTCACCAATTGTTCCCCATTTTGTACTCATCACACTGACTGTTAATAAATAAACTCTGAGCACACAATTTTTGGGGCCATTCAATTGTGACTCTTCAATGACTGTACTGAGAACACTGCATTCGCTACATGAGAGCCTCGATAAATTAAGAAGACAATATTCAGATTTTATATTTTGAGCTCAGAGGCTCCAAACCAGAAACGTATACAACATTCACTTTGAATATAATTTTTCTTAATTGTGTCTGGATTAATTCCCACTTGACCACTTCCAAAATTGGCGCAGCTTGATGCCTATGATGATGTTATACCAATGAAAATGTTAAGCTGCATACTGCTAATGATGCAACTTGTGTCCTGTGTTACATGTGTGTAGTATGTGTGAATGTATAATCAGTGTTGACATGGTGTCTGGATTTGTTGGGTTGCATGAAGACAATCATACTCCATGGTGATTTGATATATTACAAGATCCTCCAGAAATAGAGCCTTCAACCTCAGTGTGACCTTTCTGGGTAAATACATAATTATTATATTTCTCATGGCAAACAAATACATGAGTTCCCATACTCATATTGTGATTTGCGTGGTGCTTATCTGTGTTCACATTCCTGAGTCTGGTGGTGTAAATTCCTCATCCCCATCGTGGTTAGGTGCAGCATGTCCATGCAACAACCAACATTGCCAGGCACACTTCAGGCAGTGGGAAAGAAAGTCTAGCTAGTTTGACATGGGCCAGCATGGGATATCTTGGAATCCCATGGGAATGCGGTCGCCTATTAGGATTTCCAGCACAAGGAATGTTACACTAATGAGAAATGAGTCGTACAAGATGAATTGTTTCACTCCTTTGACACTATGTCCCAGTCATGCTGTCATACACAACGTTGCATATAATGATGCTTTCTGATGTCTTACAGGGGAATGAGCACATTTGTGCCAACGAGGATCGATGTCCCTGTGGAACCACCTTCGTTCAGGCACTACAATGCATGCTTCGTGTCTTTAATAGTGCATAGAGTATACATACAGCTAGATTTGAAGCTTTCGTGACTGGAATGATTCATACTCTTAGGTTTTTTCGGTACGTGACTTTACCGAAAAAACCTAAGAGTATACATACAACGTACACATACATTCACTGTCTTGGTGTGGATATTTATAAAAAAGATAATAACATGCCAAAAGGCAACAGATACCTGACTGTTGTGGGTCTTACACAATCAAGTCTCTGCAAAAAACATATATTTTTTTAAAGAATAGAGTGAAGCTTCGCCAGTCCTAGTTTAGATGTTACGACAAGGAAGTCATTGTTTGGTTTGTGTCAGGCTTATGAATGAAGATGCTCTGCAGTGCCTTGGGTTTAGTTCCTAAGCAAGGTTGGCTATATGCATAAGAATAGAATGCACTGGGCAGCATTAACAATGGGACTTTGCAAATTGTATGACACCTCCCTTTCTGAAAAGTTGTAGGCAATGCAGTAGTTGCTTTGAATTACGTCACGTAATATTTTTCCTCTATCTTAAGTAGATAAAGAGTTTTAATATCAATATTTGACAGGGTATTAAATATTGTTATGCTTACATCCCAAGGATAAACAATTTCCATTCTGTTCTGGAACAAGGATGAACACTCACTGCACAATAA